CCCACAGCATTGCCTTGTCCTTTCTGTGCTATAAATGTTTGTATGTTTGTATGTATGTATGAGACGTGGAATACGTCCAACAGGTAGAACCTTGAGCTAAAAAGCATGCAACAGTTTTTTCTATATATGTATGTATGTGTTTTCGTTGTTCTTGTTGTTGTTATTGTAGATTTATGGCGATTTTCTATTTTTGTTCATAGCTAACAGGCAGCAGCAGCAGTAGCAGCAGCGCTGATAAGGTCGTCGCAGGCATACATATATGAATGTATGTGTGTGTATGTACATATGTGCATGTTTGTAAATTCATATAAACGGTTATAATTAAATATGTTTACACATAGCCACATACAGAAGCATATACATAGATAAGCGAATGGATTTATTAATGGCTTCGGCGCGAGGTTATGCATTTTTTTATACTAAAAAGTTATGATTTCTTCATTGACCTCGTGTCTTTGTGTTTATCACAGTTTGCCGGAGCTTAGTAAATTGGCTGATGCAAGTTAAAAGGTAGCTAAGAATAGTCCAAAATGAGTGCCGTTGACCTGGTAATTGAAAAATCCTCTAAGGGTTCTAAACTGGCACTCCGACTTTCAAATTGGCACTCCGATCGCTAGCTTTATTATAGCTCGTTCTATATAAGGCTGACCAGCTTCTAGATACGGATATTTTAACTAGGCAATCGCTGTGTCGAGGAGGTGCCCAGACCAACATCTAAATTTGTAGAAAACTAAATTTATAAATGCGGTCGCTCCTTGGCAAAGAATATCCATTCTTATGAGCGTATTTCTCACACAAAAAATGTGCTTCTAATAAAACACTATCTCCCATTGTGGAGCCGGAGGTGGCTTAGAATGAATTGGAGAAGGAGCTCAACCGAAAACCGCTTTAGCGGATATAAAACCTTTCTATACCATGCCATGACTCTTGACCAAAATGGAACCTCTTAGCTGAGTCTTGGCATCACCTTTCTTATGCTCTAAGGTTGGAGAGTTCATGACCGCTTCACTTCATATAGCAGAGTAGATTGCTTGGGCTTTTACTATCTCACGCCTAGCGATTTCTAAAGTGGATCAGGCTCAGTCTTTTCGGGAGCAAACTTCAGAGAAATATTTCGGATCGCGATAGCCTGTTTGTCTTAGTGTTTTGAAGCCCGCGAATGCTTGCTCGTTTTAAATATAACCCAGTTTGAAGTAAATGAGCGAAACATATTTAAGTGCATCTTAAATCAGCTCGGGAGGTCGCGTAGCCAACTCACTTATTTACCATACGGAACTCGTACTCCAAGCCTCTATTTTACTTATCCGAGGTAAATTCCTTCTCAAAATAAAATAACGCTCAATGTGCTTCAAGAATGTGTTTCTTGAAAACCCATCGCTAATCTAAGACCTTTAAAACCCTAGAAATGATGCTGTTGTTATGAGAAATATTGGATTAGCCTTTATTTTCGATACTTATGAAAATGTGCCTCCTACCAGAAGCACGCAAGTGAGAGCGCTGTTACATCTAGAGTGAGCATACAAAGATCTGACCTATTTTGATCAGGTTCGCTATTTATTTGATCTGACACTACAAGGGCGTAAGTAAACCGAAAGTACCACCACTCTCTTCTCTCTCTCTCTCTCTCTCTCAGTATCTATAGGTCAAAAAACCACACCTTTCATTTAATTAATATCTACAGGGGACGTCCTGATCATCTTGTGGATCGTTTTAAGCTCCGGCCAAAAAAAAATAAACCTGCATCTAGTGATTACCAAACATCAGAAATAAATGCGCATTTATCATACACTCCCTCTCTCCGCAACAACATCAGAAGCTCTCGAGAACCCCATCCGCCCCAATTCATCAAAGCCCGAGCTAAGAATAATTTATTTATAACATTTAAATTGCTGACAATTTCATAATTGACATTAATTCTGTGGCTATCATTATAACAATTATGACTATGCTGATAAATTGACGCTGAGAGCGGGAGAGCACAGCGAACTGAATGAGAGTTATAATGAAAGAAAGTTAGAAATTCGAAAAGAGCGAAGAAGCATCGAAAATAGAAGCGCAGAGAGCGACCAGCGAATATGGACCACAAGACACAGCAACAGTGGTACAGAAGCAACAAGCTGCGTATGCTCTTGCCTCTGCACACCTTTAACGAGTGACCTTCACCACCACCAGCCACTCGTTGGCAGACAATCGTTCAAATACCAACACTTCGTATTTACCGTTACACATACACTGTTGCCTCGTGTGTGCGTCAACTGCGCTGCCCGGTTGCGACTATAAAAGCGATGTGCAACATGTCGCTGCCGAACAGTTGCTTTTTGGTTGTCCCGCTTGCAGCACACACGACACGACGCGACGCGACGAGCAGCTACACAGCGCAGCCGAGGACAAGCCGACATCGACCGACCGAACGAACGTTGTTGTTGGAGTCGAAGAAGAAGAAGAAGAAGCAGGATAAAAGACATAGCGGCAGAGCAGGTGCAGTAGCTCGCAGTCTCGTTCGAATTGAAGGATGCTGTGTGGGCGAGCAAATGCAGGAGAGAACGAGAGAGTAACACTAACACGGAGCGCGTTGCTTTTGCGTGAGCGGCCAAAAACACTATTCAGCTCAGCTCAGCACGAGGTATGAGCAGCATGCTGGCTGGCAGCTTTCCTGTTCGCTCAGCTGCCGAGCAAATTTCAGACGCGTTTCAACGGCGAAAGTGTACAGTTAGCTGCAACGCTTAAACAGGCCTTTTCATTGGAACAACCAACCAAACTGCTTTGTGTGTGTCTGTGTCTGTGTGTGTGTATGTGCGTTTAATAGCAACAAACAATGGCAACAACAAGACCTTCCATCCCTGCTGAGTACAACAAGTGTGCGTTTGATGTTGGCATTTTTTGTTCAACTGTTGCTCAGTGCGACAGCAACAAGTCGCAAGTTGAGTTGGAAATGGAAACTGAAATTTTTCTAAAGAAAAAAACAAAAAATTAACAATCTAAAATTTCAAATACATACAACATTTTAAATATTGCGGAGGAAGTTGAAAATAGAAACATTAAAAAAAAAAAACATTTAAAAGTAAACAAAAAAATATAATTCAGGCAAACAAAAACATTTTAAATATTAAATTTGACTTAAAACAATTAATTAATTAAAAATTAAAAACAAACAGTTCAACTTAATTTTCTAAGGACTCGAAAATAGACTCGAAAAAAAAGATTTGGCGGCAAAAGAAGGCGAAAAGCCCAACAGTGACAATCCGTAGATAAACAAATAAATATTACTAAATTATTACAAAGAACGTACTAAGCAAAAACTGAAAAGAATTAAAAAATCTATACAATGAAAAAAAAATTAAAAACGTTATAAAATTCGTTTAATATTTTTATTACTCCGAAAAATGGAATTTGAAAGCTGAAAGCATAAAAAAAAAGTTAAAAACCTAAATTACTTCAAAAAGAACACAATAAAATAAAAAAAATTAGTGAAGGATTTCCAAATGTAACAAAGCAACGGAGAAAAAACTTTTCTGAATTTCAGCGAAAATATAATAAATAATTGGAAAGCTGAAAGTAGAAAAGCCAACAACTCCAACAAAAATTCTAAAAGTAAATATTAGTGGAAAAAATTTAAAATTTTTTTTAATAAAACGTTGAAGTTTTTGAATGTAAACACGAACTTGAATGGAAAATAGTCAACAATGAGTAATTAACATTCGAAATTTGCCATTTATACTCAGTGACTGCTCTGGCGCGCTGGAAATGTTCCTGCTACTTTCCATTAAATGAGCGATCCCATTTCGGAATTATTAGTAAAATAATATTAATGACAAGAAAAAAGTCCCAAATTTGGTAATATATAAATTTTAAATTAACTTCCAAAAAATGTTTAAATAAAACACATAAAAAACAAAAATTCTGGAAAACTAATAAAACTTTTTTATGAAAGAATTAAAAAATATTGGCTTCATAAATTGAAACGAGGTGAGCAAAGCCAAAACAAAATTCACGAAAAAACTTTTTAAATTAAATAAAATTGATAAATACTAAAAAAAAATAAAAACAATAATACTAAAATAGTAATTAAAAAAAAACAGACCAAAAAACATTAAAAACACAAAAGATTCTAAAAAAAATTCATAAAAAAAATTTACAAAAAAATATTAATATATTAATATAAATTTTTCAGAACGGATGATTTGTATATAAAAACTGGTACTACAATATATTTAAAATTTATTAGCAAGACAATTTCCAAATTCAAATAAGATGAAAAAACTACAAAGGTTTCCAACTAAATGAAAATCAGCTTTTCCTATTCGTCTGAAGTTAAAAATAAAAACAAAAAAAAACAAAATTGAACAGAAAATTAATGGGAGCAATATCTTACAAAAAAAAGGGCTTCGAAACATTTCTGAACATAAACAAGGACATAAAAAGATTATTGAATTTGGTCAACCTTCTATATAAAAATGCCAAAAGTAATAGTTAAATTATTAAAGCAAATGTTGTTATTCTCTTAAAATATGCTCGCTGATAAAACATAATTAATTAAACCAGCTGAATTAAAATTAAATATATATATATATATACATATAAATGTTAAAACAAAAAAGCTCAAACGAACTTTATGCAGAACCTCTTGAATAAGTACAAAATTTCTTAATAATTACCTAGAGACCTTAACCGAGTACTAGAATTTAAAAAAAAAATAAAAGCTGAAGAAATCAATGTTAAAAATGTTGTAAATTTTATTAGCCTGAATTTAAAAAACTGGAACGGAGAAAAAACTCAAATACAACCAATCAAAAACTTAATAATAATTTTAAATATTTAAAAAAGCAAGCTAAATATTATTATAAATAATTATTAATAATAATTAAAAAATAAACTATTCTTTTTTTTGACGCCAAATATTTGAAATTATACAAGCGCACATCAATATGTGTGAATGTGCTGATGAGACTATTTAATAAAAATTCAAAATCAAAAAATAAATAAAAGAACAAACAGTTTAACCGTTAATTAAGCCATAAAAAATTTATAAGAAGAAACAAACAACAAAGTAGAGAACAATTTCGTCAAGTAGGCAAATTTCTTTAACAAGAGAGAGCGCAGAAAGGCGGCGGAAAAAGCTTAAACCAACAAAATGTGAGTAGATTTTTTTGTAAAGATGTTCCAATTATTATTATTTATTGAACAGTGTAATATGTGAAAATGTTTTAGTGATAAATTAAGGTATTTTGCTAAATTTTTAGTTTTTAATAAGAGTATATGGAATAAAATTATTTTGGACTCTAAGTATTTTCATAATGCATATTTAAAAAAAAATATATATATGTATATATATAATATATAAGTCTTTCAATATTTTAAATCAAATATTATTGCTTATATTTAATTTAGAAATACAAATTTATATATATTTTTAGGTATTTACATTCTAACACCATCTGTTTGATTAAAGGATGCACAAAATTAGAAAACCATTTTCGTAAACAGATAAAAGCAAAAATAAATATTTCAAAATATAATTCAAGGAATTAAAAAAAAAATTTGAAATAGATTTTCAAAGCACAAAATGTTTTAACTTTCAACAATTGTAAAATTCTAGTAAATAAAAGTATGATTTTTTCTATTAAGAATAGAATATTTTTCACCAATTTCTTTTCCGAAAAAAAAAAAAATTCCGCATTTCCATAAAAGGACATATTTGAAAAAAAAAAAATTTCAGAAAAACTTAGTTCATTAATTAGCAGCAAAGTTTTGAGGAAAGAAAATGAAAGTTTGAAAAGTTTGGAAATATAATTATTTCAAGTTTTTTTAAATATTAAATGTGTCTTTATCATAATTGTCTTTTATTTTATGTAAAATAAACTAATGAATATTTTAGGATTTTAAGGCAGATAAATTTTGTTGGTATTGTAGGGAAAGATGTTGAAACAAAACAATAGAACTTATTTGCCGATTTAAAAAAAAAATAAGTTTAATTTTCAATTTTCGATGCTTTTGGAAAAGTTTAAATTACTTCGCCCGATTCGAAAATAGCACGGAACTCGTCGCTACTCTTTACTCTTTGGCGTCCAATGGAAGTACCAAGTCAAATCAGAATGCTCCCTCCCCGCCTGGTATTTCCAACAGAGTGTCGTTTGTCGAGAGAGGACCTTACTCCTAATTTGACTACTCAGTTCAAAGTGGTCATTGCCAGTTCTGACTGCTCTTCTGGTTTGTCCAGAGTCGGTTTGCACAGCCACATACATTTTGCGTGGATACCAAATTTTTCGTGCTATCAAAGGCTGCCTTCAGATGGTCTTGAATTCCTCTAGTCAGACCTTATTTTGCAAAGCAGCTGATGCATGCATCAATACTGTAAAGAATATTGGAAAAATATTGTTATTAAAAATTGTTTCCAAAAAAAAGGTTTAAATCCCTTGAAATTTGCAATCTTCCCTTAATCGAACTACCAGCATAACAACAAAAATACTTCTGATTTTGTTTCATTTACGGAGCAACGCCTGCATGGCACCTGATTGTTTTTCCGACACAATTGTCTTACCAAGAAACTACTCTTGTACACGCATACATATACACGTATATATACATATATTCACATACATACACACACTTATAACAGTGTATTTGGTATAACCGTAAACAATCTCCATTCACCAATTATGCGGTTTTAGTTGAAGTAATGAAGAGCATGCAAGCACTACAAGTGGCCTCTACACCGAAGACGCCTGCTCCCCCTGCAAATGAGAAACAACGAAATGAGCAAATTTCTATGCAAGTATGTGTTTATATGAGTGCAAGAGGATATGTGTGTGTGTGTAATGCCAATTCGTGCGTATGACCATTTGAATTTACATTGGCATTTAGCCACAACACACACACACATACACCCACACGCACATACATCAGTGGATTTATAGCTGAACACACTCAGCATTCGTCCGAACGCACAATTGCGGCGCATCATCAATGGTTCCTGGCGCAGGCACGTCGCTGGCAAATGTGTTGCTAATGTCGAACGAGACGAACGCTCGGACGGACGGATGGATGGATGGATGGTTTAGTGAATGGGTGGAGGTGCGACGTGGGCGGATGGATTCTTGTAGCAGAAAACAAGTTGTTAGTTCAGTGGCTACATGATGGTAATGAGAGAATTATTTAAATGACAAAATTACCAAAAGGTTCAATTCAGTAATCATGCCACAGAGATGGAGGAGGGGAAAAGAGCGGGGATTTAGTAAGGATGACAGAAATAAATGGAACTAACCCAGTGAGAGTTGTGAAGGTTGCTTCTGAATAGTGTTTGAGACTGAGCACACTGAGGCTTATAAAACCACATCCTGAGCTTAAGAAGCTTAGAACAAGACAAAGTATAATTATTGCGATTCAACAGTTTCTTTAAACTCAATAGTAAGTAATACTATTTCATCAGGTGCATAGACTAGGTACACGAGCTGAGGGCTGCAGAATCGCGAAGATTATGTATAAAACATTCAGTAAGAAACCGGACTGCAGGCTGCTGATAAGATTATTAACGGGTTATTGCCTTATGTCGTCGTCTCTTGCGTTTAAGATAAGTCTGACTGCGGACAATAAATGTAGGATATGCAAGAAATTCGACGAGACAGTAGAACACGAATCTGTAAATGCCTAGCTTTCGGAGCACATAACTTGTGCATACTTGGCGCAGAAAGGCTACAAAATGTTCAATCATAATGACAACTTATCTTCGCGAAAAGAACAGCAATGTTCTCCCCACCTCCCCACTAGAGGCTCAAATGGGAGCGTAGCAGCTCTGGGTGGTCGCATGTAGTGTGCCTGGCAACATTATGGATGTGTTTCGTCTACGCAAGATCCAATGGATTAGCCACCTTCGTTAATCAGCGGCCAACGGCAACAACTCTCGCAACATTGCCAAAATCAACCCAACAACAAGAAGTCGAGCATACAATTTATGAAAATTTCTATTTTCAATACATTTTGAGCCACAAGGAGTCATACGAGTGTCTTTTTTTGATCACTTTTGGAATAATTTTAATAAAAAGGAAAGTCGGTGGTCGTTAAGGGGTTAATGTGCACTAAATTAAATGAAGAAAATTTCAACTAAAAAAATATCTGTGGCTGTAATCTGCAATGGGGAACGCTGAAAAATTATACAAATAAAAACTGATGTCTAACTCCTCAAAGTATGCTGCCAAATCTTATTTGCACTGTTTCGCAAGCAGATTAGTTCACGCTACCTTAAGTGCAACGCAAATACCTGCTAAAGGCATTAAAGTGCTTACAAAGCGCTCGAGCAAATAAACATTTTGCCCAAAAGTATCCCAGACAGACAGTCAATAGAGAGTATGAAGTAAGCAGCGCTTGAGCACACACTATTCCGGAGATTATTATGTTAAGAGAAAGTATATTGAACGCACTTTCTGCCACTGGTTTTCACTGCATGCGTGTATGTGTGTGTGTGTGTGTGTGGGAGTAACTCTTAAGCATGACATAAAACAAATCACTACTCTAAATACCACACACATGTCCGTAGGCATGCAGACGCGCCATGATGACTGCGGACATGTCATACGCTGAGGACTAAAGACTACGATTACACACACACATGCACATATAACCACCCGTCCACATACATATACTGAAACACATCAAAACAGGAAAATACTTGGGACACTTGTGTGTCTGTGGAGAGAGAGAGAGATGAAAAAAAGCAAAAAACAAAAAATATCCGAACGCCTTAAAGTATGCTTGGGAATATCTGCACACACACACACGCACACACACACACACAGGCGCTGGAGTGCGTGGTGAAATTTGTATTGCGTGCGCTCTGTTGCATTTGGGATTAAGTGTTGGCTAATTTGCAAAGCAATGACAGTGCTTAACTGTAACAAGTTGTTGTTACTGCTTTTGTTATAGCGCAGGTGAGGACGAACGTAGAAAAAATTGTCATATAATCCCCAGCACGTCTGCACACAGCATTGATGACTAATTTTCATTCATCGACGTGCCACACCTCCACCGTTAGTTTGTAAGGCCTACAAGCAGTGGGCTCAGCCTGGTGTATATTGCTTTGCACCAGATTTCGTGTTGTTGCTTTGCAAGTGTTGCTTCGCGTTGGTAAAACCCATGTTGATGGGCTATAATCTGGGAATCTTTACTTGCATGGATACTGTTGCAATGCAGTTTTCTTACATTTTATATAAGTATTGTACTAAAGGGAGTGCGAATGCGGGGATGTGTGCGGATCGTTAAGGTAATTTACGCCTGAATGTAGGCAACATTAACTTTAATTAAATTTATATGTAAATATTACTCTCAAATATATTTTTAAGTATTTTTTCCTTAATTGTTTAGTATCACTTAGATATGCACACCTGAATTTATGCAACAGTTTTGTATAATTAAAAAATACTTTTTATTTAAGTTTTTATTGCATAAATTTTTGCTTTAAAAAACTCCGAATTGTTAAGTCATTATTTGACATATATGTATATGCATAAGTATGTATATATGTTAAGAGAAAAATTCATTAGTATTTACAAATTTAATAAGTGAGTTTTTTCATAATAAAATTAATTTTAACGAAATTAATAAGTGAATAAAAATAAAAGTGGTAAATTCAATGAAAAAATAATAATTAAATGCCTATTTGTTTAATGTATTAATGGAAGTATTTAATGCAAAAATTCAATAATATGCAGCGGAAAAAATGTTAAACACACATAACCGGCTTAACAAGCCCATAAATCATATCACAGTTATTAAAAAATTATTTCAAATTATTAAAAAATTAAATAAGCAGATATTGCGCCTCAATTTCTCACCTTCCTGCTGCTTGCAAATTAATGAAATTAATATTAAATTCCACGCTCTCGTTACAAGCAAAGGCATAATTATGTTAATAACAACAAATTACTGCAACTTCAACTGTCAATTCACCCACACAATGACAAATTTGCTTACTGCGCTCAATTTTTTTTATTGTTCATTTCAATATATATATATTATATAATATATATAAATAGTGATATTTATTTATTTGCATTATGCCAAATGAATTTGATGAAATGTAAAGAAGAGCAACTGCAAACAAAAAAAAAAAACAAAAAAATAATACAGAATAATAGCGAAAA